TTCTTCCAGGTTGTCCATTTTATTGGCATAGAGTTGCTTGTAATAGTCTCTTAGGATGCTTTGTATTTGTGTGGTGTCTGTTGTAACTTCTCCATTTTCATTTCTAATTTTATGGATTTGAGTCCTCTCCCTCTTTTTCTGATGAGTCTGGCTAATGGTTTATCAATTTTGTTTATCTTCTCAAAGAACCAGCTTTTAGTTTTATTGATCTTTGCTATTGTTTTCTTTGTTTCTATTTCATTTATTTCTGCTCTGATCTTTATGATTTCTTTCCTTCTGCTAACTTTGGGTTTTGTTCTTCTTTCTCTACTTCCTTCAGGTGTAAGGTTAGATTGTTTATTTGAGATCTTTCTTATTTCTTGAGGTAGTCTTCTATAGCTATAAAGTTCCATCTTAGAACTGCTTTTGCTGCATCCCATACGTTTTGGATCGTCGTGTTTTCATCGTCATTTGTCTCTAGGTATTTTTTGACTTCTTCAGTGATCTCTTGGTTATTTAGTAATGTATTGTTTAGCCTCCATGTGTTTGTGTTTTTTACATTTTTTTCCCTGTAATTGATTTCTAGTCTCCTAGTGTTGTGGTCAGAAAAGAGGCTTGATAAGATATCAATTTTCTTAAATTTACTGAGGCTTGATTTGTGACCCAAGATGTGATCTATCCTGGAAAATGTTCCATGCACACTTGAGAAGAAAGTGTAATCTGCTGTTTTGGGATGGAATGTCCTATATATATCAATTAAATCTCTGTGGTCTATTGTGTCATTTAAATCTTGTGTGTCCTTATTTATTGTCATTTTGGATGATCTGTCCATTGGTATAAGTGAGATGTTAAAGTTCTCCACTATTATTGTGTTACTGTCGATTTCCTCTTTTATAGCTGTTAGCAGTTGCCTTATGTATTGAGGTGCTCCTATGTTGGCTGCATATATATTTAGAATTGTTATAGATTCTTCTTGGATTGATCCATTGATCATTATGTAGTGTCCTTCCTTGTCTCTTGTAACATTCTTTATTTTAAAGTCTATTTTATCTGATATGGGTATTGCTACTCCAGCTTTCTTTTGATTTCCATTTGCATGGAATATCTTTTTACATCCCCTCACTTTCAGTCTGTATGTGTCCCTAGGTCTGAAGTGGGTCTCTTGTAGACAGCATATATATGGGTCTTGTTTTTGTATCCATCCAGCGAGCCTGTGTCTTTTGGTTGGAGCATTTAATCCATTCACGTTTAAGGTAATTATCGATATGTATGTTCCTATGACCATTTGCTTAATTGTTTTGGGTTTGTTTTTGTAGTCCTTTTCTTTTCTTGTGTTTCGCACTTAGAGAAGTTCCTTTAGCATTTGTTTGGAGCTGGTTTGGTGCTGGTTTGGTGGTGCTAAATTCTCTTAGCTTTTGCTTTTCTGTAAAGCTTTTGTTTTCTCCATCGAATCTGAATGAGATCCTTGCCAGGGTAGAGTAATCTTGGTTGTAGGTTCTTCCCTTTCATCACTTTAAGTATATCATGCCACTCCCTTCTGGCTTGTAGAGTTTCTGCTGAGAAATCAGCTGTGAACCTTATGGGAGTTCCCTTGTATGTTATTTGTCATTTTTCCCTTGCTGCTTTCAATAATTTTTCTTTGTCTTTAATTTTTCTCAATTTGATTACTATCTCTCTTGGCATGTTTCTCCTTGGATTTATCCTGCCTGAGACTCTCTGCACTTCCTGGACTTGGGTGGCTATTTCCTTTCCCATGTTAGGGAAGTTTTCAACTATAATCTCTTCAAATATTTTCTCAGGTCCTTTCTCTCTCTCTTCACCTTCTGGGACCTCTATAAAGCGAATGTTGTTGCATTTAATGTTGTCCCAGAGGTCTCTTAGGCTGTCCTCATTTCTTTTCATTCTTTTTTCTTTACTTTATTTTGCAGCAGTGAATTCCACCATTCTGTCTTCCAGGTCACTTATCTGTTCTTCCGCTTCCGTTATTCTGCTATTGATTCCCTCTAGGGTATTTTTGATTTCAGTTAACAAACATCTCTGTTTGTTTGTTCTTTAATTCTTCTAGGTCTTTGTTAAACATTTCTTGCATCTTCTCCATCTTTGCCTCCATTCCTTTTCCGAGGTCCTGGATCATCTTCACTATCATTATTGTGAATTCTTTTTCTGGAAGCTTGCCTATCTCCACTCCATTTAGTTGTTTTTCTGAGGTTTTATCTTATTCCTTCATCTGGTACCTAGCCCTCTGCCTTTTCATCTTGTCTATCTTTCTGTGAATGTGGTTTTTGTTCCACAGGCTGCAGGATTGTAGCTCTTCTTGCTTCTGCTGTCTGCCCTCTGGTGGATGAGGCTATCTAAGAGGCCTGTTCAAGTTTCCTGATGGGAGGGACTGGTGGTGGGTAGAGCTGACTGTTGCTCTGGTGGGCAGAGCTCAGTAAAACTTTAATCTGCTTGACTGCTGATGCGTGGGTCTGCATTCCCTCCCTGTTCGTTGTTTGGCCTGAGGCAACCCAACACTGGAGGCTACCTGGGCTCTTTGATGGGGCTAATGGCAGACTCTGGGAGGGCTTACGCCAAGGAGTACTTCCCAGAACTTCTGCTGCCAGTTTCCTTGTCCCCACAGTGAGCCACAGCCACCCCCCTGCCTCTGCAGGAGACCTTCTAACACTAGCTGGTAGGTCTGGTTCAGTCTCCCCTGGGATCACTGTTGCTTCTCCTTGGTCCCGATACGCACACTACTTTGTGTGTGCCCTCCAAGAGTGGAGTCTCTGTTTCCTCCAGTCCTGTCAAAGTCCTGCAATCAAATCCCACTAGGCTTTGAAGTCTGATTCTCTAGGAATTCCTCCTTCCGTTGCTGGACCTCCAGGTTGGGAAGCCTGACATTGGGCTCAGAACCTTCACTCCAGTGGGTGGACTTCTGTGTTATAAGTGTTCTCCAGTCTGTGAGTCACCCACCCAGCAGTTATGGGATTTGATTTTACTGTGATTGCACCCCTCCTATGATCTCATTGTGGTTTCTCCTTTGTCTTTGGATGTGGGGTATCTTTTTTGGTGAGTTCCAGTGTCCTCCTGTCAATGATCATCCAGCAGCTAGTTGTGATTCTGGTGTTCTCGCAAGAGGGAGTGAGAGCACGTCCTTCTACTCCGCCATCTTGGTTCAGGGCCCTGCCATCCTTTCTCTTCTGTTCTGGGCTGAAATACTCCCCCTTCAGCAGCATCTCAACCTCCATGGGGTACGATCAAAGCCTTTGTGGGTACAGGGGACAGGGGGACCTGAAAGAGTCACTTATGGAGGCCTGAAACATTATGTCCTTATTTTATTCTTTCTTTTATTCATTCATTCCACACACATTTACTGAACACCAACTATGTGCCAGGCCCTATGCATTGCAGCTGGGTTACTTCCTCACCGCATGATCCTCTCTCCTGACCTTCCAGTCACAGGGATAACTCCCAAGTGGCAGGGCTTTCATGACATATCAGAGGAATCCAGGATTTCAGAACAAATCTGTGTATGCTGACTGAAACAAAGTCTCAAAGTTCATGAAAGTTAGCTCTGAAATGTATAATAATTTACATGTAAAAATAATAATATAATATATATCACATAGTTATATAATAAATCCAGTTGGTCCCCACTTCCAGCATCTCCCTTTTTGTGTGCCTTTGTCACCTCCTTGCCCTGCTGTCTCCCTCCGCCTGTGTGGAAATATATTTTGACTTATCTTGACCTGGATTTTTAATGTTGTCAGCCTGCCTTGGATTGATCTGCTGTCCTCTCCATCCCCTCCAGAACAATTTCCTACCTCTTCACCCAAGGTCAGGTTTCCCCACCCCCATCCCCTGCTAGCCAGCTCAGAAATAGAAGTCTTATCTCTTTCCCTGTTCAAGTCAGCTGGCAAATGTGAACAATATATAAATTCATTATGCTGTCCTAAAGAAAGGGGCAGAAAGAAACTGGGATCACCTTTCCAAATCAAGGATCCTAAAGCCCTGAAGGGTCAAGGGTCCTATAGCAACCTCAACCTCCCCCTCCCCCAACCCCCCAGCACTGGGCAAGGGCTGACACAGGGTTTATTTTGGTTTTGGGTTTTTTTTTAACATCTCTATTGGAGTATAATTGCTTTATGATGGTGTGTTAGTTTCTGCTGTATAACAAAGTGAATCAGCTATCCCTATACATATATCCCCATATCCCCTCCCTCTTGCATCTCCCTCCCTCTCACCCTCCCTATCCCACCCCTCTAAGTGGTCACAAAGCACTGAGCTGATCTCCCTGTGCTATGCGGCTGCTTCCCACTAGCTATCTATTTTACATTTGGCAGTATATATATGTCCATGCCACTCTCTCACTTCGTCCCAGCTTACCCTTCCCCCTCCCCATGTCCTCAAGTCCATTCTCTACGTCTGCGTCTTTATTCCTGTCAGATTCCATATATATGTGTTAGCATACGGTATTTGTTTTTCTCTTTCTGACTTACTTCACTCTGGAGAGGGTGTGGAGAAAAGGGAACCCTCTTGCACTGTGGGTGGGAATGTAAATTGATACAGCCACTATGGAGAACAGTATGGAGGTTCCTTAAAAAGCTAAAAGTAGAACTACCATATGACCCAGCAATCCCACTACTGGGCATATACCCGGAGAAAACCACCACAATGTTCATTGCAGCTCTATTTACAATAGCCATGACATGACACAGGGTTTTTGTAGAGCAGTGGGGACCCAAGGTATCCTCAGCTCACACACTAGCCCACAACAGCCCCACTCAAACTGTGCTTCAGCCACTCCTGTGCTCCCTTCCCCTCCGGGCTCACACCCTTACCTACTTCTTAGAGCATCGCATCTGCTGTCATTTTGCCCCTGCAAAGAATACGACAGGGACCATTTCTCTGCAGAACTTTACAAAACTCATCCTGTGTAATTAAGATCCAGAAGGAATCAGCTTAGGCTTCTTCCTCCCTCTAGCCCCTCAGGATGAGACTCCCTCCCTTCTGCCTCCTTTCCCACCCTTCTCCCTCTCCCTCTTTGCTCTTCCTTGAAATCAGAGTAAATATTTGCAGTGTTTTCACCTCCTCTGGATACTGTCTCTCCTCACAGTAGGCTCAGTTCTGCCTCTTTTCACCTTAGGCTTCCTGTGAGAGGAAAAGAAAAAGAACACAAGAATACTGCCTGCTTCCAGCACTGGGTCTGTCACAGCGAGGCAAGGAAGGCAGGTTGGGGAACTTAGTGGGGAATGGAGAGATGGGACAGGAAGGGGGTTAGGGGTGCTGATGACAGTTCTCAGCCCAGACCACATACTCAGGAGCTGTGGAGGTAAGCTCCAGCCCGTGTGCCTCAGGTGGAGAGGAAAGGCTCCAAAGGTTGTCATCCTTTCCCATCGTGACTGATTGGCTTGGGATTATTACTGAAAGAATTCCGCGACTCTTTGCTGCAGAGACTGGGTTTTCTAAGCCAAGTGAGCTGGAGATCAAGTAAGGAGGTCTAGCAGTGGACAGAGAGGGGGAACGTTTTTAATGGAAATTTTAATTGGAATAATTGTAGATTCACATGTAGTTATAAAATTTCATATCCAGCGTATGGACATTGCTGCAATCCACCAATCCTATTCAGACTTCCCCAGTTTTACTTGTACCCATGTGTGTGTGTGTGTGTGTGTGTGTGTGTGTGTGTGAAGTTTTATACAGTTTTATCACCTATGCAGGTTCACATCCCCCATCTCAGTCAAGGTACTGCACAGTTCCAACACCATAAGGGTCCCTCCCACTATTTCTTTTATAACCACACCCCCCTCACTCTATGTCTACCCTTTCTCTAACCTCTGGCAACTATTTATCTGTCCTCCCTTTATAAAAACGTTTTGTTTTTTTTTTTAATGGTATATCAATGGGCTTATACAGTAGGCAGCCTTTGGAGATTGGCTTTTTTCATTTCATATAATTCCTGGAGATTCATCTAAGTCATGTGTATCAGTAGTCCATTCCTTTTCCTTGCTGAGCAGTAGTCCCTGGTATGGATGCATCCCAGTTATGGTTAACAGTTTGCCTGTTGAGGGACATCGGGCTATTATAAATAAAGTTGCTGTTAACAGCCACGTGCAGGTTTTTGTGTGAACGTAAGTTTTCATTTCTCTGGGATAAATGCCTAAAAGTGCAATTGCCCGTGTTCTCTTTTGGCTTTTCCATTTCTCCCTCTTTTTCCTTCTTCTGCCTCTCCCAGGGTAGAGATGTCAATACTCATGGTCCAAGGGCACCTGCCAGCCAGATAGCTAGGAAGTGCTTCATCGTGAAACCCTTCTCGGGGCTGACAGAGTTCTTGAGCTTATTAGCCTGAACTTGGAACTGTGCCCAGGGTGGCAGAATCCTCTATCCAAACCTCTCCTCCAGCCCTGGAATGTCTACAGCTGTTGAAAATGCAACTTTCTGGGCTTTGCTCATCAAGTTGAAAACTTGTCTGAGTGGAGTTGAAATTCAGGGACGGAGGAGGGGGTGTTATGGAAGCAGCGTTGGGAGGTTGGAAGACCTGAGCTGAAACCTTGCCCTGAACAAGTCACTTCCTCTCACATCCTCCATTTCCTCGTCTGTAAAATAGCCTAGATGATCCCTACATTCTCCGAACTCTTACACTGTACTCATGTTCATGGAAGAGAAGGAGGCTGACCAGTACACACAAGGACTGAGCCCATCACCACGGCTTTGTTAACATGGATTTCTGACCGACTGTGTAGGATCATCTTCCTTCCTGGGCCATCACAAGCCTTAGCTTGAGCAAATACTCAGTGCGAAGCTCTGTGCTAGGTGCTGAAGATAAAAATATGCATAAGTCACAGGCTCTGGCCCTCAGGGGCTCAAAGTCAAGCCAAAAGTCCTCACCAAATTACATATGCTGGGTATGGTTCTATAAATATATTGCAAACCTCTTTATCCTGTGTGGGAAATGATTAAACGACATAGTGCATTTGTTATGACAATCTGCTGCTTTAATAGCGCCCAGGGTAAGATAAGATTAAAAGGAGTGCCACAAAGGAGCGCAGGAGAATCTTTCATCTCTAGAAAGTAATGAAGACAGACCCCAGATACAAGAATGGTCTGGCTGTAAGTGGTGCGATCAAATGATATAAGGCTAAAATGAGCTGACACAACCAGATTTCCATACGCAGCTCTCAACACCCAGTGCTCACCCAAAGCAATAGTAGCCACATCCTCAAATGATGAAGAACTTACTTGAATGTAGACATTGAGCTGAGGGGAGGGCTGCAGCGGGATCCCAGGAACGAGAACTGTCCTGCACCTGGAATGCATGTTCTTTGCTCAGAGAGAAGAGGAATGGTAGGGCTTACTTACCATCCTTTCTCTCCCTGCTTCCTCTTTTCATTCTCTGTCTAGAGGAGAGTTCTTCCTCAGTTTTACAGGCAGATCTTCTAGGCTCAAGTACTGACCTCTTCGCCATATTTAGAAACCAGGGGAAGTCGTTGAATTGTTCCTGCAAGGACACAGTGGTCACAGGGGGACTTCCCAGGGAACAATAGCTATCGTGTGTTCTTTGTGCTTCTGTTGACAGCCTAAATCCAAGTCTCTGGCCTCCTTTTAGCAGATGAGCCAGCCCAGTAGGACACTTGGAGGGGACACTTCCCCGTGCTGGGGAGAAGGTCACAAGAAGTGAAAATTGCCACAATTTTCCAAGGACTCCTCTGTTCAGAGTCCATGCTGACGTTAAATGTGTATTTTCCCAGAGGCAGAAGGAAGGACCCCTCTGCCCCAGAATAGGTTTGTGAGGCCTTGTGGGCTCTTCTTCCTGCAGCTGGGTCTAGATCCACAAGAGCCCAAACGTGAAGCTGCATTTTTTTTAAACCAGCAGGAAGCCCTCTACCCGTCCCTTCTCCCTCCCTCCCAGAGCCTCTTTCCTCTTAGGCCTCACACTGTGGCTGTGCTGCTGTCATAGTGACACTGATTATGGTTATTAGGAAGGAGAAGAGAAGTCAGCCTGTGCAGTGTGTCCGGCCTCTCCCACTGCCTCTGCAAGCAAGAGAGATGAGTTTGTGTGGTTGAGGTACCACGCGACCCTTGCACAGGATACTGCCGAAGGCTTCCAAGGATGGAGCTGGGAGATTCTCAGTCACCGCAGCTAAAGCCAGGGTGGTGTATGGAAATGTGCTCCATCCTCTCCTCTCTCACACCCACATTGGGCCCCTTGTCACACGCACATGCACCTACACTCGTTCCCATAGACATGCACAGCAAAATATACATGTATAGACACATCCCAAAGACAGACATGCAATTGTAAATTCTTCCATTGATTTACAAGCTATCAAGCATCAAGCACCGGGGATATATCAGTGAACAAAACAAAAACCCACTGCCCTCAAGGAGTTTACATTCCTGTGGGGAAAGAGAGACAATAGCGAGATAAATATGTAAAACATATACTACCTTAGTAATGAATGCTAAGGAAAAAATAGAAAGAGGGGAAGGAGTTGAGGGGCACGTATATACACTCCTTGCTTTTCTTATAATTAACTGGTATTTGGGCACCTGCTGTATGCAGGGAATTGCACTGGACCCTAGGAGAGAATCAGGAGAACTATAACATGGGCTCCTTTAAAGAACTTGCAGTCTGAGATGAGAAATACCCCAATGCAATACTGAATGGATAAAGGTCATGAAATTTGAGGAAGGAGGGAGGAATTTGATGAGTGATATTTCCCTGGCCAGGATCACACCCAGGCTGGAGAGACAAGTGGAAACCCCTAGGCACTCTGACCATGACCATGCTCACTCTGTACAGGGGGGTCACAGCTTCTCTGACCCAGTCCCAGGTCTATAAACAGAGATCTCTGCGGCGGGGAAGAAGCAGCTTCCTCCCCTTCATCAGACATCACCTGGGAACCCAACCTTGCTGGGACAGCTCACTGTCGCTGGCTTGGCCAGGCTCACTGTCTTTTTGTCTCTCAGTCTTGCTCACTCTTTTATTCTCTCTGCCAATCACAGAAGGCCCGCCTTGCCAGGATCCGTGTGGCCAAAACAGGGAGCTCCAATGCCTACCTGCACAGCAAGCGCAACGGACTCCTCAACGAGGCACTGGAGCTGATGGTAGGTGCCTGGGGGACTTGGGTTGGGGAGATGGAGGGGAGGACGGTCTTGCTTTTTCTTCCTGGGGGCATCAGCACTCCCACCCCAAAGCCCCAAAGTTTCCCCAGGTAGCAGCCACCCTCCACATATGTCTTCCATAGGGTTCTCATCATCACCCCTAAACCCCCTTTAGCTCAAGGGCTCCCAGCCAAAGGCTAGCATGGTCTAGGGTGATCCTAAAATTTGGTTCATCCAGATTTTTCCAGTCCCCCCCTCCCTTCTGTGGAGAGATGAAGGAGATGGAGAGAAGGAGAGCCAGCAGCTTTATACCCAGCCTCTCCTCTTCTCCTCCTAGGGCACCCCGGAAGAGGAGCACATGGGCAAGACCACCTCACTCATCGAGAGCCAGCACCACCACCTGCTGCACTGCCTGGAGAAAACCACTGTGAGTCCCAGCCCAGTGCCACCTCCCTTCTCATCCCAGACCCCTGACCCTTTTCTGAGGTCAGAACTTACAGAGTGAGAACTCTGTCCTCACGTTCTCACCCCAGGCTTCAGAAGTCAAAGTTTGTCCCCTTATATCCAAAGAGTAGCAATGAGGTCTCTATCAGCCCTCAGGAGGAAGACCCCAAGGAGTGGGGCAAAGCCACCAGGGTCAGGAGGCCCGCAGCACAGAGGAGGCCATTCCCCCAGTCTTTCCACACACACCCTACATCCGTCCTCACAGCCCATTTCTTAGTTACTGAGGCCTAGGGGCTCTGCCTATCAGTTTCTCAGCTCTGATGAGCACCCCTCTTCAGAGCTACGGCTGAATTTATACTAGGTTACTACAGGACAGCAGAGAAGAATGTCAGTTTTTGTCCTATCCCTGGGGCTAGGTTGATGCAATCTGTGGGTCCCTTTTCTCCTTCCATTCCACTTGGAACAGGAGAGAGTGAATGAACGAAGCCGTGCATATATTTCTCTAGCCACGGATTTTACCAGTACCACCCCATCTCAGTCACCCTGCAATTCCCAGGGAATTCAGATTCTGAAAGGCTGATTGCTAAAAATGAGTCATGGCTTAGGGTGCCCCAGCTGGAATGTGGAATGATGCTTGTGCCTCACCAACAGACTGAAAGGAAGGGCAGTGGGGTCAACCCTGGAGCCTTGGCAAAAGCGTTAGGAATAGTAGGGAGGGAGGAGAAGTTAGGCTGGACAACCAAAGAGAGACAAAGAGAAACTCCCTCTTGTTCTTTTCTAGGACCTCCTTCCCCAAAAAGGCTATGGTCAGGGCTCAGCACACTAAGGAAGGAACTTTCTAATTTTCAGTGTTCCATATCCTGGCCTCCCAAATGTGGGGGAAGTAGATGTTAGGTGACTCTTAGTATGGACAGCTGTGGACGCTGTGGATGGCAGCTGAACCCAGTGAGGGCTTCCACTGTGGGAAGGTACTCTGAAAACCCTAGTTTCCAAAACTTAGCCAATGTTTCTTAGTGTCAAGAACCGTACAGGTGTATCTAGAATTTCTCTCAAAGACTCAGAGCTTGCCAAAGAAATAGGCCTGGACCCAACTGCCCTTTCCAAGTTGCATGTGCTGGGTGGAATGTGTAAGTTGAAAGGATATGGGTGAAAATATTTGGGTTTGAAGAGATGGAATGTTGGCATTGAAGGGGTGGAATGCTGAATTTGAAGGAAAGAATGTCGGATTGTGGGGATATTGGGATTAAAGAGATGGAATGCTGCATTTTAGGCAAGGAATGTTGGATTCAAGGGATGGAATGTTGGGACAAAGGAGGAAGAATGCTGGAAGCAAGGGATGGAATGTTGGACTGGAAGGGTGGAATGCTGGGATTGAGAGATCGAATGTCAAAACTGAGCCTGGGAATGCTGGAATGTACAATCAATGGTGTTTTTATCTTCTGTTGGCATGTTGTCCTGTAGGGGTTGTCCTATCTTGTGGATGATCCCCTGTTATCTGTACGAACCTCCACCATCAAGGTATAACTTTTTAAAATTTCAATTGATGTTTTTCTCTCTGATTCTTCTGAGTCTGTGGAGTCTCCTCTTCTTACCCCCGGTCTGGTTCTCTGCATGTGCTCTTGATTCTTCTTGGGCTTATCCTAACTCTGCTTATCCTACCCAGTACCAGCTCAGGCTTCCAGTTTTTTTGTGCCTTTCTGATTCCCTTTTTTGACCTCTCCAGGGGCTTGGAGGGGTGGCGGAACATGGAACCAATGTTGGTACCTTGTGAGTGTCCATGTGCCACATCTGTCTGTGCCACCCGCCCAGCCCTATGGGGACTCCTGGTATCGGCTGTCAGGGCTGGTCTCTCTCTGAACTCTGTTCTCATGCTACTTCTCCTCAGACTTTCTCCTCACTCTGGCAGCCTTGGCCAGACCATTCATGGCATAGATGTTTAGTCACCTTGGCTAAACAGCCATATGTTAGTTATCCTGGGCTCCACTCCACCCCATCCTGGTGGCCTCCATCAGGAGTCTGTTAGCATCCCCTTCCCATGCTTACACTTGACTTAGGGAATCCTGTGCCTTTAGGTATATTAAGGAGCCATACCCCATAACCAGGTGGAAAAAACCCAGTACTCAAAAGCAATCATAACCCTGAGTGTGTGACCGCATTGGCCTTCCAGAGCAAAGCTCTCCCAATACTGTGAATAATCCAGTGCCTTTAAAAGCTTATGTCTCACACTTGCCCAGGATTCATAAGGATCTCACCCAGTAAATCCAGAAAAGACAACCCAGCGTACCCACTACCCATTGTTAGTGACTCCTTACCTGCCGCTCCCTGCCCCCCGCCACCAGAAGATCCTGTCAAAGCCTGCAAAGTCCGTCAAGTCTTTGCTTCTAACTCTGAGGATGCCACTAAGTCCCTCCATGTCCTCCGTATCCCTTCAGCCAAAGCTGTAGACGAAGTGAATGTCACATCATGATTTCACAACCGCAGTCTCCGCCCTCCAGTCTGATGACCAGGGCTGTCAATGGTAATCTCCTCCTTCCTTCATTTGATGCCTGTAGGATATCCCCCATGTCCTGAATGCTTATCTGTGCTCCAGGCAGCTGGGAGCCCTTCTCCCAAGGCCCAGAACAGAGACAGGCAGCTATACAGGGTACGGGGGCTTATCCCCGCCCCCGCCTCCTCCTATCTCCTTCTCCTACCTCTTCTCCCTCTGCTTCCCACAGAACCACGAGTTTATAGATGAACAGATGTTTGAGCAGAACTGCATGGAGAGTTCAATGCAGAACTACCCATCCACACGGAGTCCCTCACTGTCCAGCCACCCGGGCCTCACGACCACCTGCTGCTCCCGTCGTAGTAAGAAAACCACACACCTGCCCAACTCCAACCTACCGGCCACCCGCCTGCGCAGCATGCAAGAGCTCAGCACGATCCACATCCAGGGCAGCGAGCAGCCCTCCCTCACTACCAGGTGGGTGGCTCCCATCTCCATCGCTCCCTAAGGTCTGCAACGCTCCCTTCCCAGAGTGAAAGGCTCTCAGCATTAGGAGACCCCTGGGGGTCCTCAGCCTTCCCTCCTCCCTGTCTAATGCATGAGTCCCTCACCTCACCTTCCTCCCCCCACCTTCCTTCTCATCCTTGCAAGTTAACCCACAGGCCTCTCATATGCTTTGGAGGATACTCTAGCAGGTGTAGGCCCAAGGTGGGGTTAGATACCAGAAAAAATAAGAACAACAACAAAAATCCATAAATGACCTACCCTAGTGCGAAGAATGGACTGTTTTCTCAAGACAATAATTTTCACAATTGTGAAATTATATGAAATTTCGGCTTATCCCAGGCTGATTTTGAATCACAGACTGACTCTCTGCTTACATGTAGGCAACTTCCCACTACCTCCAATGAGTGGCAAGGAATTCAGGGAAACCAAAATCAAATGCCACAAGGGATGGGAAAAAAATCCACTGGAGGGAAAAACGTATACTCTGAATTCCAAAGCCCAGTATCCATGACTTTTACAATTCGGGGTAGTTTAGGAATAATAATCAGAATGGTAATTACAGGCCGATTACCAAAAGCAGAGATGGAGGGACACCCAAATCACCTCCCAGTTACTGTGAGCTAGACAGGTAGAGGGTCAAGGAAGCTTTGGGACACTAGCAAGACGAACCATCATCAACTCACTCTTTTTTTATCCCAGTCGTTCCAGCCTTAATTTGAAAGCAGACGACGGACTGAGACCAAACTGCAAAACATCCCAGATCACCACAGCCATCATCAGCATTCCTACTCCCCCAGCGCTAACCCCAGAGGGGGAAGGTCGGCCACCCCCTGCCAGCCCAGGCTCCAACACGAACATTCCTGCCATGGCCAGCAATGTTGTCAAGGTCTCCGCCTTGTAAAACCACTGGACAGAGGGCCAGTGCGGGTAGTGGGAGTGAAGGGGGCTGGCATGTTGGTGGGTGGCCACTGTGACCACTCCCTCCCCCTCCCCCACTACTTCTGCCCACCCTGTTGCACCCCCAACACTGAAACCTGTGCCTGGAAGGAGAAAGAGGCAGCAAAGGGGCACCTGAGTTTCACTGCTGCTAGCGTGGACATAGCCCTGTGCCACTGCATCTCACAGGGGCCAGAGGAAAGGGAGGGCGGGGCGGGTAGGGATGGGACTGTGCGGGTATAAGCTGCGAGCCAGGACAGGGCCCGGAGTGGGGAGCCTCAGACCAAATAACCATTGTTTCTGGAGACCCCAGTGAGGAAAATACAAGACCAAGAGCAGCACAGAGGCCGAGTTGTCACATGCAAAACAGGAAGAAAATATAACACTGTGTATTTAAGCACCTTTTTCAAGGCTCTTAATGGATAATATTTATTCATGGGAAAAGGTGGAAAACAAAAACACCCACGGAGTTTTGTGAAATGTTTTTCTCCATGGACCCAATACCTTTGAACCAAAACAATGCATTTTGTGAGGGGGTTTGTTTTTTTTTTTCTCCTTTTATAGCAAAAGCTTTTAGGCTAAGAAGTCAGTTACTGCTGAGTTCTCTCTTCGTTCCCCCAGGTAGGTGAGGTCGACTGAGCCTGGGCCCCACTGCCCAGCTGACCTGCACAGAGCTGCCACGTGACCACACAGCAACACTCACCCTCTGTCTGCCCCTGTCTCCTTTGTCTCTGTACCTCTCTGCTTCACCCCCTGGCTGTTTTTCTCTGTGTCCAGCCATCTGTCTCCACATGGACCCCAGTGATACTGAGACATGTTAGTAAAGCCTTCTCCACTGCCAAGCACCTGCAGACTCGTGCCAAGGACATGAATGCAGTGGTGGAAGAGAAAAGAATAAAGCAAAAATGGGCATTTAGGGATGAGGGAAGTCCACCTTAAAGAACAGAGTGCTTCCCTTGTGGTTGGAACCACTGGTGTTGAAGTTTCCATTTCTGGGGAAGAATGGGAATGACCACATTTATCTCACTGGGATCTTGGAAAAGGAAATCGCTAGCACCTGAGAGGCACAGGCAATGCCAGTGTGTGCCAGTGAAGAGAGAAGAGAAGAACCCAGGGCTCCCAGCTGCAGTCAGCCCCTGTGGCACCTTGCTCTGTACCCTTCTTTCAGGACCCACCGTAAAGCCCATTCAGAGCTCTGACAAGAAGCCCCAGGAGCAGTTTCCCGCAGAGAAGGCAGCAGTACGGGGACCAAGCTTCTGACTTATCTCACACCTGAGGCAACTTCCACGGAGGCTGCAGAAGGTTAGGCCTGTGTGCCTCACGAAGGATGCTCCAAAGAGTGAAGTCAAGTAAGAGATTAGAGATGATTCTTATCTGGTCTGAATGATGCCTTGAGATCTGAAGAGTCTTCAGGCCTGATGTCCCTGAAGATAACTGAGATGGGGGAGAAGCCTGATCACCTCCCTGCAAGTGAGGAAGTGAATATTATTTTTGGAAAACCTGGACACATTTCTGTGCAAGTGGTTTGCATCCTGATGGGGCTGGGAACAGCATTTCCGGAATCCAGTCAATTTTCACTGCTTGTAGCAGAGCAGGTGGGCCTCGGGGTTAGTGACCAGGCCCTTTCCGCCTTCCCCAATCTCCAACTACCCTATTGCAGTCTCTCTAGCCTGGACTCTGAGACACAGGAGCTCCTTGGGAACTCTTTATCCATTCAACAGCTTAGTGGTTAGCTGTTTAATGCTAGGCCAAGAATTTTTCTGCCCACCTCAGCCATCCAGAAGAGTTTCACTAGCTGGGAACCTAAAAACACCTTCAACGGGCTTCTCTATGACCCCAGCTCTACTGACCCTGTAGAAGGAGAAAGTCAAAGGGATGTGAGGTGGCACCTAACCAGAAGGTGAGCAGACGGGCAGAGGAGACGGAGCCTTCTCCTTTACGCTATCCTCGCTGACCACCGACTGCGTCCCTTCTCTGGGTCTGGCCTCAAGGATTTCCCCCTAACCCGAGAATGGGGTGGTCTGGCCCTCTGAGCTTATGGTGTAAGTAGGCAAAAAGCTTTACAATTACAGAGGAATACGTGTGTACACACAAACACACAACAACCTAAACATACTTGCGTACTTAATCCCATTCACGTCATCCACATATCTCATTAGGGAAGGCAGAGGACTGGGCTGGACTCCATTTAGGGGGCAGGCAAAGGACTAGAAAAGGAATTTTTCTTTTGAAAGAATGGGTAATGGAACAAAGTTAAACAAGGTTTAAGTTTCTAAGTATACATCATAGGAACCGAATTGGGTAAAGGATAAAGAGGTAAATAGGAACATGGTTACACACACATACGAACTGCCTGTGTTTAAGAACAGGTCATCACAGAGTTAGAATAATGACTGCTCCAACCCAGGACCTGTTTAGTAGTGTACCAGGGGAGCTTACTAGTGGTTCCCACAAAAATTAATGAAATTTTAAAAAATCATGTCCCAAATAATTTCCCACTTTTTTGACCCTAATGAACTGCATGTTTTGTATTTCTTCAATTTCATTTCCAAATCCCACATTATGCCAGTTCCTAAACCACCATTATTAGACTAACCCCTTCATCTCCATCCCCCAGTGTAGCCTTAGCCAAAGATGAGAGACCCTGTTCACACAAGAAAATGGCTCATCCACACAACAGAATAGAGCAAGACTACACTGCTAAAGGGCATTTGTGAGTAAAAAGAAGGTCCAAAGTGTGCCAAATCAGTTGAATGTCTAACTCATTGGCCAGGGGCTGAAGAACCAGGATATTATCAGGGTTTTCAGGGGGCAATGGCTTTCTGGTGAAATGACTCGAGCTTTCATAGTTCATGAACAACTTCAGCATAATAGATTTACAAAACTACCTATCCCATTCAATCCTACTCAACATTAGGGAGGGTTAAAAACCAACCAACCAACCAACCAATAAGCTATATTGAAATGAATGGAAACTTAGAAAACATGGAATAGAGTGAATCAGAACTAGAAGAGATTAAAGAATATCTTAGTCATTTTACAGTCTAGAAGGCTGAGGCCCAGAGAAATTAAGTGACCTACTCAAGGTCATGCAGTTATTTAATGACACGACTGGGACCAGAACCCAAGTCCCTTGGCTATTAGTCTAATGCTTTTCCCTACACCCACTGCCTCTCAGAGCAACGATGCTTTAGAGAAGACCCATCAGAGATTACTTGTTGTATCTAGAGACATAGTCTTATGTGAAAGTCAATTATTACTTGGACACAGCCCTTGGAAACCACTGACTGTACTAATCCAAACCATACTTTGGAAACCACCATCCACTAGATACAACTAGCTACGGACTATCAGTTCTGTCAAAAATAGGTAAGTGAATAGTCAGGTTTTTTCAGTCAAATCCTGTCTCTCCTCGAAGAGCGGGCTAGGACAACGTTTTGAAGCATACCTTCTATAGTCCTTTTAATCCTTTCCACCACCTCTGGTGGTAGTAGATCAAGTACCTAAATCCTTGATTCACAGAGAAGAAAACAGGCAGAAAGAAGCTGAGTGACATTCAAGTTCACATGGCAGGTTAGTGGCAGAACTATGTTTGCAATCCAGGGCTTAGACATCTTGTCCCGGGACCTTTTCCTCTACATCATGTAGCATAACTCTGAGGATTGCTTATATATTTTAATATCTGGATTTCAAGGCTAGTGATTAGGGAGAGGAAGCACTATACTCAAAACCACCCTGAACCAGGACCTCCAGAAGCAAACTCTGTACTACTTCTCCTTCATCCCCTCTTTTCGTAACTAGTGTCAAGCTCAAGACTAACTGCATAGAATCCTGTTCAAAAGACTAGATAGTCTCAATGATAGTTGAACACATGAGTCTACAGTCATACAGGAGTATGAAGTCAGCAAGTAGAAAAGTGAAATTAAGAAAAATAATTTGAACAGAAATTAAAGTGGATAGTTAACGCTGATCGACAATTAACGAAAAAGTCAACTCGTGGATATGTTGAGGACCTTACCCAGTTTTCAAACTATGATTCCTGCAGTTCGGGATCATGTCACTTGTTAGAATATTGGCAGGGAAAGTACATTGAAAGATGTACCTAGATTTTTTTCCTTATCTTTGTTTTTTTTTTTTTTTAACTTTGCAGAGGTAGTGGTTGAAATTTATCTAAACCTAGATGTTTAGGTTATTAATGAATTCTAGTGATCCAGGTTCCCTCATTTCAATTACCAGGTAACTACAAGGCAGAAAGATCCTAATGCTGTTAATCTAAGGCAATATTTGTTTCCCTTTTAATCTAGTTGGCATGGTAACCATGACAAACAGGAACCAAAAAGACTTTTATTTTCCCTTTCTGATGTCCTTATGAAATCTCAGCATTTGCAACGCTTTAAAATGATTGAAGGAAAAGCGTTGTTATGACCCATCACCCTCGGAGCCCAAAGAGCATCATGAGGAGCATCATTAGAACTAAGAGAAAGTGGATCAGAAAAAGAAACAGCTTTAAAGGGGTTCCTTTTGAGTCTTGTTTTCTACTCAGAATGTTCTATGTTTTTCTCATCAAGTGTGGGAATGAATTTATCTTAGCAGGTTACTTAACTACACTGGATAATGTCACACTAACCAGTGTAGGGCACTGACCCAAGTCCTGGGGGGGCTCCTTGGACCAACAGACTATTTTACAAACCTGGGTGGTGGGAGGGATGGTATATTTTTGATAATCAGACATTCCAATGTAATGTTTTCCTTAGAGGTCACCCTCCCCCATCAATGTTATCGTGAAAAACATCAAGTGTGTTCTTTTCTATTTTCATATAATAAATGGGCTTTGCTTACCAACAACACAATGGCAAAGAA